GAACATAGGAGTATTCAGGTTATATAGACATGAGTCCGTGGGGTGAGGGGAGGAAGCAAGATAAGGGGTTTCAAGGGTAATCTTATGGCCACCATTTGGTCAGGCTTGCAGGAGCATTTGATCTGGGTTTCCGGGGCTAGTAGAAGGGAGGAATTTTACACTACAAAGGTCCGGACTAGCTTGCCAGACTAGCTTGCAAATGGATCCGGGCTCCCTGCAAGGTGTTAACGAATTACCCCAGGTTTCCACAACTTCAGCAGCATCTGCTTTAGTACAGAAGCAAAAGAGGCAAAGGTTAGACTTTATCTTTGTAAGACAGGCTAATCTAATTTTATTCTTACACTGTGTGTCACACCCAGGAGGGTGGGGGTCCTGTGCATCCCACCCAGGAGGGTGGGAGTCTTGCGTGTCACACCCACAGAGGGCGGGGGTCCTGTGTGTTACACCCAGGAGGGCGGGGGTCCTGCACGTCACACCCAGGCACACTGCAGGGGTCCCAGTGCTGCCGCTGTGGCTTGATTCTCACACATCACAGCTGTCAACTGTTTTGGCAACCAAAAGGCATAGTTCTGTAATAAGGAGATTCCTTATCTGTAAAGTAAATAGTACCCCTAATACCCCTAAGATGCAAGTGTGTGACCCCATCACCCCGGCCCTCCCAGTGGTGTTTTCATTTGTGTCCTTTGCTTCACCGGTGACTCTCAGTCTCCAGCCTCAAATGGCAGTATGGTGAGTGTGGGGTGGGCCACAGCCCCCTGAGCTTGGCAGGGCCAACCGCAGTCCTGGTAAGAGGTCACCCTGGAAGTCGGAAGGTTGTGTGACCGTGGCTTCTACCCGGGCATGGTCACCCCGGACCACGTGACACAAGGCTTGGGAGCCTGGCTCCAGGCCAGCTGTACCAGTGCTACTCGGCTCTGTCCCCGAGCCTGTTTCTAACCTGTAAAACGGGAGCGCTGTTGGATCGGGTACAGAGGGAGCAAGCCTGGGTGTGTCGATCATTCAACTAGGCACCACTGAGCTCCCACCTTTGCTGTCCTCGGTGCTTGGGGACCGTGGCAAAGGTGGCATTTGGGGCTTCCCTGCATGGCTGGTTCGTGCCTGAGCAGAGAGCTTGGGTGAGAGCACAGTTGTCATCGTCCTTTTCCTGGGGACAGCAGGTGCCTTTCTGCCCGGCCTGGCCGGCATACGTGGCACCAGCTCGCCACGCCCATGGCTGTGCTCAGAGCGTGACCTTGTGTGGCCATCCTGCCCTAGGGCATCCAGTACCTGCTGGCACTGCAGAGCCTCAACCTCTACTACAACTGCGTCTCCTCGCTGGCGGAAGTGCTTCGGCTCCACCCCTTGACGGAGCTGGTGGATGTGGACCTGCGGCTGAACCCCGTGGTGAGGAGCGAGTCTGACTACCGCCTGTTCGTTGTGCACATGCTCCCCCGGCTGCGGCAGCTAGGTAGGCCCCGCAGCCCAGGTCCCAGCTGGGTCCTCAGGGAGCAGGTGCCTGGCACAGAGCAGGCTCTGGCTGGCTGTTCTGTCCATTTCAAACTGTTTCTGGGCTTCCTTCCCACCACCCCCAGCTTCTTGGTGTGACCCCTGGTGTTGTCTCAGAACCACTGGGACTCAGTCCCTGTGGCCTTGCTCCCGGGGGGACTAGGGGTAGGG